CTACTACTACCATTACTACTAGTACTACTACTACTACAACAACAACTACTACTACTACTACTACCACTACTACCACTACTACCACTACTACTACTACTACTACTACTACTACTACTACTACTCATGCACGTCTTCGACCAGCACACCTTCGAATGGAGGGACGGACCTAGACCCATTCCACTGATGTCTCCGGAAGATGCACTGCCTAAGCCTTCGTACTTGACCTGCCTTTTTAACTTGGGCGCATCAAATTCATATGTTCATCGCAGTTCCATGATTTTGCATACATGCGAGCAATACAGAGCATTCCGAGAATTCCGACCAGGGCATGCGCGGAATCTTTTTTCTGCGGGGCCCTGAGAAACCCAGCACATGGTCCTTGGTCCTAAACCCTAAACCCACGCCTTCAACCCTGAACCCCAAAACGTAAACCCCTTGACCCTAAACCTCAAACTTTGAAACTTAAACCTGAAACACGAAGCCTTAAACCCCAAACCTTGAGCCCTTAAACCCCTACACCCTCGACCCCAAGCCTTAAATTCTTAAGTCCCTGAGCCCTAAACCCCAAACCTTGAATTCCTGAGCCCCTGAGCCCTAAACCCCTAAGCCCCAAACCTTAAAACTTTAAACTCTAAACCCCGAAAGCCTGAACCCGGGCCTGCTGCCAGCTCCTGGACATCTCACAGGCCTGCTCATGTCACTCCGAAGAGGATTTTCAGGTTCTGGGGCTTAAGAAGTGTAAGTTAGAGTCCAAGGTTTTAGGGCTTTGAGGTTTTGGAATTGGTGAGGAAGTGTCTTGTTGTTCGGGCCCCTGTGCTTGGTTCAGGCTCAGCGAGTGTAGGGCTTATGGAAAGCTAGAAGTTCCAGCCCAATCTCTCCCTAAACTATTTGCCCTAAAGCCTGAACCCCTGAACCCTAAGCCATAAACCCTGAACCCCTAAACCCTAAACCTTTCCGTTCGAAAGCTTGGGAATTTAAGCACTGGAGCTCCCTGCACGAGCCCTGAACCCTGAGCCTTAGACCCTAAGCCTACACCCTTCGCAGACCTGCATTGGGAATGTCGGACCCAGCTTCCTATAAGCTCCAATCTAGGGTTTAGGCTTTAGGGTTTAGGGTTTAGGGTTACGCTTAAGTTCACCCAAACATGGATCGAGTAGTGCCATATGCGGTTCTACTCAGTATCTGTCTGAATACATACTTACATACATGCTCACGTACAAGCTTTCATACATCCGTACTTCCACAAAACGATACATCAGTCCATCCATGCATGCATACATACATACATACATGCATACATAGATGTCCATACATACATAAAACATACACACCTAAGTATGCACGTGCGTACATACAAGCGCATGTATGTATGCATGTATGTCTGTGTGTGTGTATATATGTATGTATGTATGTATGTATGTATGTATGTATGTATGTGTGTGCGTACGCAAATACGTACCCACGTACGCGTGTCTGTATGTAAAACTGTATACATGTCTGTGTACGTATAAGTGTACACGTAGGTGTATGTGTATATATATATATGTATATATGTTTGTATGTATATATGTACATACATACGATAAAGATGTCTGCGCCGTATATGTAGCGCAGGCCCAGGTTATTGCCTACCGTGGCCTGACCTTTTCGAACAAATACATGTATACCATCTGATGTACTCACAAATTAATTAGACATAAGAAGTGAGTGTTGGTATGTAGATACAAATCATAGGGATGCTGTCACTTGAGTGTCTGTCGAAGGCGTGCATATAGATATGTACTGATATGTGTGTGTGTGTGTGTGTGCGTGTGCGCGTGTGGGTGAGTGCATGTGTGTGTGTGTGTATCTGTCTGTGTCTGTGCAGCATATGAAAAGATGTTGTAGTGCATTGTGACTTTCATTACTACGACAGCACGTGTGCATGTGTATAAGTATGTGTGTATCAATCTATCTATTCATATATGATATGATATGATAAGATATATGTGTCTGTGTATGCTTATATTTATACACATACAAAGTCTGTCAACACATATTCACACCCAAGCCCCCGTCACGAGCCCAGCAAAGTCCGTCCAAAAAGCAACAGGCAGCTTCAGTAGACCCTGGGGCCTTCAGCGCAGAGCCGTAGGCTACCACGTTCAAGGACACCGAGGCTACCTGGGAGGGGTCGATCAGTGCCCTGCACTCATGAGCCCTCAAAGTCCTTCGGCTGTGCAGGTGTCTGGCCCCGAAATCACGGAGCCATTCTGATCTCTTTTGCTGCTACTGAGCGACTTCGCTGAGTGTTTGTAAAGGCAGGACGGATGAGTTCATTCATGCATGAACACGCAGGAAACTACCACACGATGGCATGGCACTCCAGCTGTCTCGCTGCCCCTTGCTCTCTCTGTCTCCCTCTCTCTCTCTCTCTCTCTCTCTGTCTCTCTCTCAACACTCTCCCTGTGCTAGCTTTCGAGGCTGTCTTCGTCTTTCACCTTCTCTCCGCCTTTCAGTTCTGATTGAAGAACCAACACCAATGCTGCCAAATTCAAATCATCCCAATGTACCCAAATCTTAGCAATGACGGCAGGGCAAGACAGGGAAAAGAGAAAGTGGTTGAGCTGAAGGCTACGAAGGAGGATACCATGAAGCACCCGAACAGGCCACAAAGCCTGACTCGACCC